ACCAAAGCTTTCTGTTATATCACACTTAAAACTAGATGCTTTATAGACTACCTAAGAGCCTTCACTTTCGTGAGAGACCCCACTTCACCTCACTATTGCATGACAGTAACAGTTCTGATATTCACACGATTCTCTCGTTTTATATTTAACTACGTGCTAGGGCGTGAAACAGGATTATCAGATTATTGTTTGAATACTGATTTCAATTTTACATAGTCTTCAAACTGTATCATAATGAAAATTAAAAATAAAACCAACAAATTGTAATTAGAAAAGCATGTTACACTATTTATGACTAACTGAAAATATCTTTCAATATATTCTTTATAATGTGACACTAATGTGTACAGCTATTTTACATTAATCTGACCAAATATAAATTACAATAATTAGGTACTACATAAGAAATTAAGAAATAAAATTATACAAGTACTCTCTGGAGTGTCAAACAAGTAGTAGGTAGACAATATTGAAATTATTAATTATAATTTGTAAACGGTAGTCAATATTATGATATTCACATCTACAGAAAAATTTTAGATAAGCAAAACAATAAATGATTATAACAGGTTTAATTTGCTTACAAAATGTTTTGGTTATCCCCTATGTGTCAATAATCAATGGTTTCCATTTCTTCCTTCCTTGAAGAATACCATCCAATGCTACATCAGTACACTCAATTGTTGGCTGTACAGTTACATACATACAACCATCTTATGCTAGCATCCATAACACATATCTAGATATGGTGTATTTTAATTAAGTAAGGTATGTACATACATTGGAACAATATAAATAATGTCATGTCATATAAAAACAAGCTGCTACATGCTTTCTTTCAAATTAAATGTAGCTTATTCAGAAGAATTTTGTACTTATGCTGAGTGAATTTAGTTGTAGTATTGGTACAGCCATTTTTTGAAATACCGAACAGATTTTCTGGGAATAATTAAATTTAAACATGAAACATGGATTACTCTTGTTTATACGCAGCATAAGTACAAGTCTGTTGTCGCAGTGTTTGTGTATCACTTGGCGCAATGGAAGCATTACAGCAGCAGCAGCAGTAGTAGCACTACAGTGAAATATATGAGTCTGCTTAGCCACTTTGGCATCACTCAAAACGCGAGTTGATTGGATCACGACCTAGAGCAAATTACGTCACAGTTAATCTTAGTATGAAAATAGATTCGTATTTCAGTACTAAGTCCAAGTTATGGCCAAATTTTAACAACTCAAAATAGAGCACTGTAAAATCATATTTTACATTTTATGTTATTCTCATGCATAAAGCTTATTGCTTAATTTATCAGATCACTCAATAACACAGGTAGCTTGGAGCTATTCTCACAACAGTGTATAGATAATATATATTACTAAGTCTCATCAAAAAATCAATGTTTTCGACCATTTAGATGCGTAAAATGTGGGAATGATCATCCAACTACTACATGTACTAAAACTCTGGAGACAGAACCTACATGTGTTAACTGCCATGGCAAACATCCGGCAAGCTATAAGGGATGCTCAAAATACAGAGAATACAAAGAAAAGATACTTAAAATCAAACCTAAATCCAACAACATACAGGTGAAGAATACAAAAGAACCAGATCAAACAAATATACACAACATGAATGAAACCTTCAAAACAACTTTACCCAAGAGAAGTTATTCAGATACGCTAAAAGGTAAAAATGGAAACCATATTAACAACACCCCATACATTCCTAATGAATCAGGACATATAGCCAGCCTATTGGACACCATGTTCAATAAATTTGAAGCAATCATGAAAAACATGATGGACAGCATGATGGATCGGATGATCCAACTTATTACACAGATAGTGACCCAGAGGGCCTAAATATCCGGTTGATTACCTGGAATGCCAACGGACTAACTGATAGGAGGCAAGAGCTTGAACTGTTTATGAATACTGAAAACATTGATATTGCTCTAATATCTGAAACGAGATTTACACGTCAATCATACATTAAAATACAAAACTACAGCATATATAGGACTGAACATCCATCTGGAAACTCGCATGGAGGGACAGCCGTTATAGTCAAAAGTAATATAAAACACCACGTCCTTGAACCATATAAAACTGATAAAATACAAGCAACCTCTATTTGTATTCAGCATAAATCGGAATTGACTACTGTGTCTGCTGTGTACTGTCCACCAAGACATGTAATATCCTCTGATGATTTCAAGATGTTTTTCAGCCAATTAGGCACACGTTTCATCTGTGGAGGGGACTGGAACTCCAAACATACTAATTGGGGTTCAAGGCTTATCAATCCTAGAGGAAGACAACTATATAGAAGTACACTAGATCTAAAACTGGAATGGATATCCCACAGTCAACCTACATACTGGCCCACAGACCAAAACAAGATACCTGACCTATTAGACTTCTATATAACAAAAAATATTGGCAGAGGTTACATAAAAATAGAAGCGTGTGATGACCTATCTTCAGATCACACCCCAGTAATCCTAAATGTGTACCAAAAAGTTATCCTGCAAGAAACTACCATCAAACTACATAATCATAAAACTAACTGGAAACAATTTCAAGAAATGGTCAGTGAAACATTAGATCTAAAAATTAAACTGAAATCGCCAGAGGACCTAGAAATAAGCATTCAAAAATTCAATACAGCTATTCTTACTGCCGCCTGTCTAACTACACCTACACAAAAAAACCCTAAATTAAAACTGAAAAACTACCCCAAACTAATAAGAGACAAAGTCCAAGAACGGCGAAAATTGAGGAAAGAATGGCAACAAACAAGGTATCCCTCAGATAAAACCAAGTTTAATAAAATTACAGAAGAAATAAAGATACTTATCAAAGATCTGGAGAATCACACAGTGCAGAGTAAATTGGCCCACTTAACTCCCCATAAAGACACCAAGTATTCACTTTGGTGCGCAACAAAGAAATTGAAACGACCGGATATCCATGTTCCACCATTAAGGAAACAGGACAGGAACTGGGCTAGATCCGATCTAGAAAAAGCAACAGTATTTGCTGAATATCTCCAGAGTGTCTTCAAACCTTTCCCCAGTAATAACCCAGAGGCTGATAAAGAAATTATAACCTACTTAAAATCTCCTTACCAGCTTTGTGCACCTATTAAACCAGTAAGTCCTAAAGAGATAGATAAGATGATTATGGCTCTGAAATCTGGAAAAGCCCCTGGATATGACCTTATAGACTCCACGCTGATGAAAAACCTGCCGAGAAAAGGAATAATCTACTTAGTAAACATTTTTAATGCCTGCCTGAGGCTCTCATATTATCCAAGCCAGTGGAAGATTGCTCAAGTTGTTATGATCCCTAAACCTGGCAAACCTGTAGAGGAAGTGTCGTCATACCGACCAATTAGTCTTCTCCCTCTTCTCAGTAAGATCTTTGAAAGGATTATCATCAATCGTCTCAATCCACACCTAGATAGAGTACTTCCAGAACATCAATTTGGTTTTCGACATAGCCATGGTACCGTCGAGCAAGTACACAGATTGGCAGATACTATCGGTCATACAATTGAAACCAAGCAATATTGTTCGGCTGCATTCCTGGATATTAGTCAGGCCTTTGACAAGGTCTGGCAAGAGGGTCTACTGTACAAAATCAAGAAGTCTCTGCCACACTCCTTTTTTCCAATACTTGAGAGTTACCTAAGCAAAAGATGTTATGAAGTCAAATTCAACGGTGAGACATCAGAATTGTACGAAATACAATCAGGAGTCCCACAGGGCAGCATACTAGGGCCTGTTTTGTATCTTTTGTTTACTGCAGATGTACCCACTCACGCACATACCACCATGGCCACCTATGCGGATGACACTGCAATTCTGGCAGTGGATAAGGATCCAGATATCGCTTCGGAAACCCTGCAAAATCACCTTAATGAAGTTGAAACATGGCTGAAACAATGGAGAATAAAGGCTAATCAAACCAAGTCAGTCCATGTCACTTTTACCTTAAGAAAAGGAAACTGCCCTCCTGTTCTACTTAATGGCGAACAAATACCGCAAGACGAAACTGCTAAATATCTTGGCATGCATCTCGACAGAAGATTAACTTGGAGGAAACACATCTGGACCAAAAGAAAACAGCTCGACACAACTCTTCGAAATATGTACTGGTTGATCGGTAAAAACTCAAAACTATCGAATGAAAGTAAAATGGCAGTATACAAGGCTATCCTGAAACCGATCTGGGCATACGGTATTGAGCTCTGGGGAACAGCAAGTACCAGCAATATAGAAATTCTGGAAAGGTTTCAAATGAAGGCAATGAGATGCATGTACAATATACCCAAAAGCATTAGCAACAAATACATTTTACAAGACCTAAGGCTAAAAACTGTTAGAGAAGAAATTTCTCAGAGAGGCTCAAACTATCAGAAAAAGCTATCTAAGCATGTCAATGCCCTTGCTTCTAAGTTATCGGGATCTGGAAGTATCCAATTTGCAAGACTGAAGAGGAGCAGTGTACCTAACCTCATAGACCGATTCAACAGCTAGTAGGAAGGGAAATTCATTGGATACTTCTCTTCAATGCAATATGCCACACTCAGACAATGAGTCAGCCAAGAAAGCGGCTAAATGTTTTATAAACAGATTGCTGTGTTGCGGGATATAAAATAGAAAAAAAAAAAAAAAAACTAAGTCTCATTTTTGGATAGAGAGCCGACCACATTACATAATGTTATGTTGTCGACACTATACCCTAGTCCTGCTTTGAGGACATCCAAATTCATGCAAAATAGCTGCCTTTACCAGTGCGAGAATCGTCCATGCAGAGCCTCGACGCAATCCATCCAATACAATTTTTATACATAAGTCAATACAATAAAGTAATGGAATTTTTCAGTGACATTATTTTAACATAGGTATCTAAAGGTACTTTCGACGTATTCCTCACTGTGTCACAATACGAGTTCAAAGCAAGGAGTCTACGGAAGAGAGTAGCCTGTGCTAGTTAAGGGATGGTGATGGTCCGTCATCCCACACCACATCAATACTGGGCCACTTGGTCTGTAGGCACGTCAACATGGCATCAGTGCTGGCTGCACGCATAGGACATTCCAATAGCGCGGCACGACCTGTGCGGAAAATAACTCTAGCACCTGGATTACTGCGCAGCAGTCCATTGTAGTGGTGCAGAGTAAATGTATCTGGAGCTCCACGCTCACATCCAGGGAAGAACTCGTCCATGAATGCACTTAATAATATAATGCCTAAATTCTCAGAATCTAACTTTCGTCTCATTAGCTCTACATATTCAGGTTCACTTACAAGGTCAGCAGCACATAGTACATCTTGGAGAGCTGCTGATGGAATAAAGTTATTTCCTTCTGGATCAAATGAACGAAAAATTCGCTCTGCTGACTCACCAACAGTTTCAGGTGCAGCTAATCGTCGCTCAAGAGAAAACAAGACTGTTAAGTGTGTGTCAGAGGCCAACACCCACACAGGATGTTTAGGATTTTTGTAAAATGACCCAACAGTGCAATACTGCATATGTTCCATTATAGTGAGGAAACCAATATCATTTTGTCTTTCAATCCCACGTAGCCTTAAACCCCCTACAACTTGGTCGTGGTCCCACACATGTGCTACAGCTCTTCCTGTGAGCATTAAGTTAATTAGTCCCTGTGAGCCATAGCCATATGTTGAATGTATGAGTGGGTCAGACAGTTCTGCAAGCTCTGCTTCCACAACAGCTACCCCCTTACTGAGAATAACACTATACAAAAGAAGTAGTACACCATACTTGTCCTTCAATATTCTAATGTTCCTTGTATAGAAAGCTTCCACTTCAGATAATGTCTGAAATGAATGCACTTCAATTTTTCGATGAAATTGTTCTAAGGTATCATACACAGAACTGGATTGTTCTTCCACACTGTGGTTATTGCCTCCGCTAGTCTCAGCATCTGATTCGTTCTTCCTGTGCACAGCAACATTGTACTTAGGAGCTAGACACTGGCTTAATATTGTACACACAGCCCTAACAAGCAGAGAATTGCACTTTTCTGATGTCAAATCCTGAAAACTGTGTCCAGGTGTCTCTGATAATAGTATTTTGAGCAAAAAGCCTTGAACTGGCGCAATGGCTGCGCATGGACCACCTTCTAGTTGTACTAAGGCACTGGGCTCATCTGGACTGAACTGGAAGCCCTGCGCCCACCGCCGAAACACGTCTTCCTTCACATTATCCCCCCACAGCAAGCGGCGCGTGCTCGCTAGCTCACGGTCCAAAGTGGCACTCCCGGCACTCATGGTATCTTTATTAGGTGCTGTATCAGAACTATTTGTATCGTTCGATCCGTTCAGCATTTGCATATGTAGCCCGATGTTTACGCTACCTAAAATAAAAACAATTTACAGAAAACTCGTAGGTATTATGCATTACAACATTTCAAGTGACGGCTGAGAAAAGTGAAAATGTTTCATTTTCGTGCAAATCACATAATTTATAGCAATACAAAAGAATCATAACCACGTAGTACTTACAGCCATTAGGAAGTACATGACTAACGATATTAACTAAATAATTGCTTCAGAAATCCGATTAACCATCTGGATTGCTTCTACTGGCATTATAAATCATCCATAAATTATTAATAAAAACTTTTCATTTGTAGAAAAGAAAAGAAAAGCTTACGACATAAAGGCTGCCATTTTTTTATGGAATCTGGCGAATAGCAACATTTTATGTTATGTCAAAATAATCGTATTGGAAATTGCAATAGACAAAAATGATCACTTGTGATTCTCACATTTTTCTCAAATAATGTAAAAAAACATTGTTAATTCCCACTCGTACTTATTGAATCATTAGTACATATTATTAAGATACTATGGACGAGAATAAAATAGTAAGAGGTTCTACTAAGTACCATATTATCCAAGTTTCCGAACTATCGTGTTGTCACATAATTCAAATCAAATAAAACAAAAATAATGATAGTATCCCTAAATATCACATAATTTATTAATATTAATTTCAGTTACTAGTTGTACTATGACACTAACTTACCTATAATCATAATTAACTTCATTTATAAGTAGACTCATTGGATATTCGACTAAGCGTGTAACTCTGTGAAACTTACTCACGATAAATATTATTTAGAGTTCCAAAGACCACCCAAAGACTCATATAGGTACACAACTCAACTTGGTCGTTGCCATAATATCTTTAGTTATTGTTCCGAGGTGTAATGCCTCATGATTGCCTCGCAATTGCCTCTAAAATATCTATGGTTGCCTCGCCCCGAGTAGGTACCCCGCGTCCGCCTACCCGCGCCCCGCTGTAATGTCATTGTCATTTCATTTTGAAATTAGTTTTTGTGTGTGTGTGTCAGTCTGTTCAGTTTCATTCTGTGGTGGTGATGTTTCTTTTTATGTTTTTAGTTTCGTGACATCAAAAGTTTTATTTTGTTTCTTTCTAACGTTATAATTAAGTTAATTAACGTTGAGTTGTTTTAAACAAGTGCATTATGAATTTATTAAATTGATTTATTGCATGTAGATGAAAAGTTATTGTGTTTTGTTATTTCAACATAATGAAGGTGGACCTTGTTTGGAGGCGACGCGGCCCAACACAACTAGCAGGTTGGTCCTCTTTTAGTTTCTTAAGATATTTTATGATATATTTTTTTTCTCTAAACCAATTTTGTTATTTGTGGGCAAATCAGTGCAACTGCATCGATACCTGGTACATACATAACACCCTTATCGAATTTGGTAAGTATTACTTATAAAATAAAAATCTACATCAGTTTACAATATTTGAATAAGATTTGTAACGTAATTACCCAGAAAATTACCAAATGTAACTAATTTAATTAATAAAATTGAGTAATGCAGACACTTGAGTGAAACTCTAGTCCAGCCATTGATGCAACCTTCAATACAGCACAGTGAAGGGGAGCAGTGGGTTGTTTAGCTGTTACAATAATCTACTTTTAAGATAAATACATTGTCTACCTACCTGTCTCTTATCACAATATCAAGTTTAAATGTGTATCCTTACCATTATGATGACTTAAGCCTAGTTTCAACCACTTTTCTTAAATTGTAAGGAATCTCTTACCTAACCAGATTTTCACCAACCTATTACTGACACGAAACTATAAAGCTTTAGCTATTCCCTACCGCAAAGTACTAACTAGATCTACCACTAAGTAGATCTTTTAGGAGATGATATAAATAATGTCTGTTGTTGACATAAGTCATCTTTCATAGGTAGGTATACTATAAACAAACACAAACATTTAAAAATTCTTTAGTTTCAGTAGTTCACAATAAATAAACAAACATGAAACAAAAACATATATCCATTTTGTTCATATTAAACTTAATACAACACATAAAACACCTGTCTCCCTGTGTGTAGACCAACAAGTACTTAGTCCAGTGCCATCTGTTTATGCACTGAGGATTTATCATCTAGAAAAAGTTTATTTTATGTTGAAACATATTTATGTGGCAGTGCCATGATTGTTGTATCAGTAGTAAAGTCACAGATTTATACTAAGAGATTAGCAATTAGGTATAATATTTAGAAAATTGTCAATTTCCAATGAAATCCTTAAATGAGGCTTATAGAATTTCGTATTTAACTAAAATATTAAGTAAGATTTAGTTGTTGAATTACAACACTACCTGCAGTGATGGATAAGGCCGCGTACAGCAACACCCTGTTACGAAGTTACGCGTACTTATTCTTTACGATTTTCTTCTTAGGAAAAGAAACATTTCCATGACACGTTTGTAATCACAATGTAATATGTCCAAAAATAAATTAGGAAATTGACATGTCAAATGTGGAAATCCACGATTATTACGATAGATACCTAAATAAAAACGAGTTTTGTCTCGAAGCAAATGTGGCTTGTATTGTGAGTCATTAGCAATCTACAAAGTAAAACAGTTAAGACAAGAGAAAAGCGCCACTTTTGGCGGCCTCTCACTCAATGAAAGCAGCTCACATGCGCATTGTTCGCGTCGTACTCTATGCCGCTCGGCTTGTGCCGGTGTAATGTGCTGATGCTTCACTTGCACGTGGAAAGTGTGCATGTATCACTTTCCTATTCTATAATACTATTCCTATATTATTTTCGACTTGTTGACACCGAAATTTTAGAGAAATAAGGTGAAGGCTGCTCAAGAAACACGCTTTTTGCTTGAAGTACATTAAAGCAGGTTCTACTTGAGGTCCTTCTCACGGACTTGTATTCTTGTAAAGATGATACCTCTACCGGTAGCTAAAGATAATTCGGGAAATTCCTTTATCTAATTATCAATAAGTTACGCGGACATAGATCGTTAAGATGTTAAACACATGTATAGGTAGTATTTATAATTAAACAATTTTATCCTCATTCATTAAGTTCAGACAGTTGCGAGGGTACCTCGGGCCATACACATATTGTCTGGAACGGTACCATAATACCGTTGACGGACAATGCAACCATTGTATCACATCTTAAGAAGAAATAACGGAATTTTTGTGACTATCCTCGAAACTTTAAAAAAATATACAGTTACTATCACTGGCCGTTCGCCATCCTCAAATTCCTAATCCCTAAAAGATCGGCAACACACTTGGGGTAACTAGTTAGTTATCCACTTTCCGTCATTTGACGAATGCATGCATCTTTCACAAACAAAAGGCGGCCTACAAAATACAAATGGCAAATGCTTGCATCTTGCTTAAAAACAACGACAACTGTCTACGTTAAATTCGCGTATCGTTTTTGACAATGACGTCGATATTTTTGACAAATGCATGTATTCATCAAATGATAGGACTTATAAACTCTTCTGGTATTGCGTCTTCCGATTGCCATCAGGTGACCCATCTGCTAAATTCTGCCTTTCAAGTAAACCCAGTTAATGAAGTACCTATTGTTGTGCAGGAGAGGATCTAAATTATATTTAGTATTAACATAACATAACATAACATCACACCTTTTATCCCCGAAGGGGTAGGCAGAGGTGCACATTATGGCACTTAATGCCACTGTACAATGTAACACCCACTTTTCACTATTTATGTTATGAGTCCCATGTAATAGGGGGTGAGCCTATTACGTGCTACTACTGAGATTTTTAAAAACCCAGTAATACTTTGCCCGACCCGGGAATTGAACCCGAGACCCAGCAGTCGCACTTGCGCCCACTCCACTCCGCCACATATTTAGTATTATTTGTAACGATATTGTCGTATAGTCGATAGTAAAGGTGTGGCGCACTCGGGCGCAGGTGCCGTCTGCATCGGTGCGTGGCGCCCCGTGCGCCCCAACCTGTGACTCCCGACAGCTGGTGTCCCTCGAGTTGAAATGCTAAATAAATCAATACTCGCGGACCGTTTGTTCTAGTTAATTAGTTATGTCAATAGGATTTGATCATTTCGAAGCATATACTATCTTTCGCTCGCTAATTCGTGAGCGCCTAAAATTGTATACCTAATTTCAATATTTATAAACTCATTCATTACTGTAAACAATCTCTCCTAGTATTCATCTACACACAAATATTAAAAAAATACTTCTTAACCACTTTCTGGTGCTAGTTAATTGGTGCACACTGCGTTCATTTTTTGATGATGTTTCATCATATGCTCGTAAATATCACAATTTTAACACAGCGTAAATAATTTCATAATTATTACGTATGCGTTACGCGAACCCTGGCAGATGCCGGAGTCCTGTTATAATAGTACTCGATACGGTGTCTCCGACGATCGTTGAACCCGCTGTGTTGCAACCGCAACGTTACACTCACAATTTTATTCATAGTCATATTTTGTATTACCTATGTAATTATTGTGCTAAGCAAATTACTACCAAAGATAGAACTCCAAGTGGTTGTAAACTTTCGTATACCTACTTCTGTAGGAATGACAACTCGCTTAACCTTATTCCAGCCTACTCATGCATCAAGTACCTAGGTAGTTATGGTTTTGCTATCTTTTTACCCATTTCTCTGGGTTTTACGTGGGACCGTGGGAAATTTGTGTTACCGAGGCACTAGTTTCACATGTATTATGTTTATATTAGCACCTGACACACACTGTAACTGTATTTAAAAATATGTTACGCTTAGATATTTAGAAGCTTAAATTCAAAGCATTTGTATCATGTCAGAGTAAGTAAACATGAGGTATATTAGGACATAGAGAGCTGCCAGGCCAGAGTCCGCGTAATGTGTATTAGCTTGTCCGACGTATAAAGGTGTTTTATTATCTTCGCCTTTTGTCTACCGGTAGCACTGTATGAGTGTATATAACCTCCCGATTGAACAAAGGAACCGATTTCATTCAATTCGTTTTT